GTTGGACATGTTCTGCTCTTTTTGTGGATCCTGCTCCTGTTTCATGGGATATGAAAGAAATGATTTAGAATAAACATTTGATGATCTATGCAATAGGAGAATATTATTGTTTAATAGCCTTGTCAATTTGCAGGCTTTGATTAGAACCCTGACTTTTCTTTCTTTGTGGGTTAATGCTCTCAGACTAAGTGATTTCTCAGGGACTGCACTCTCCTTCATCAGCGAGCATCTTGAAGATGGATTGTCAGATTATTCAAAGGTTCAGAGAACTTTCTCTTACCGGTTGGTGGCGCAGACTTTCATCCCTTCACTTTTTAAGCTTAGTTTGATGCTGAAGCATCACATCATTTGGTTTTTGATAAATTAATCTGGGTGGCTGTGGCTGGTCCAGTACCCAGAATGTCGATGGTTTGATCACCTGCTCTTGAAGTGTTGCTTAGTGAGATAGTGAACCTGCTGACAGTGTATGAATGCTGTGTGATAGGATAGAGTGCTGTTGTATGAATGTGTGTGTGCATGGGGGAAGGTGACTTGTACTGTAAAGGTCTTTGAGTGGAGGATAGGAAGGGAAAATCACTGTATAAATACAGTCCATCACCATTGCATTTTATAATAATAACTGTATTTTATTGTCCAGCTCACTCTCACAGCTCTCATCGTTGTTGTCTTCAACAATAGCATGCAGATGTTTTAGAGAAAAAAAATCTTCCACTGTTCACTTCCTGCCGACTGGTGTGTAGGGTGATAACTGTTGTATTAAAATCAGATTCCCTGCTTGTTCTTGCATTTCAGTCTCTGGATAATTTTTGAGCAAGTTGCCCTTTGTGATTGGTGTCAATTGAGGCTGTACTGTTTTTTCAGTTTGTAGAGTGGATCCAAACATATACCCAAGATAAACAATCATAAAAGAGCCCCAACACTTATTTGTCATTTTTATAGGCATGAAAATCCATTTGAATTGAATAAAACATTTTATTGAGTGCTGAATTGTATTGCTAACTCAGGTTATTGTTTGTCATTGTGTGAATAAGTTTTTAAAAAAATGTATCAAAGAAAGTGATGTGTTAAACATTATAAAACATTATCAGAATATTTCTTACCACATTCATCTTTAAGGAGATTTAATAACAATTTTTATTTTGATTGAAGCTGAAACCATGTTTCCTTTTTTCCCCAAGAGTTCCCTCTCTTCCAGCTTTGTATCTCAAACACTTTGTTATACAGAAAAAAACACAGTACAACAGTTTTCTGGCAGCAGGAGCTCTGGTTCACTGGCTGGGCGTAATGAGCAGATCTTGCAACGCTAACCAAATATCTTCCATTGATTGTGGTTAGGCGACAGGATTTCCTTGTCAGTGGCTACAGCTTCAACAAACAAGCCTGTAAAGGGTTTTGGGACGTCTACTGGACGCGTGAGCAGGTTTCATGGTTTTGTCATGAATTGTGAACAGGATCACCAGATTGTGTTTGAAAAAGTCTCAAAATCTGAGTGAAATCTTTCTGCCTAATGGTCTCCGATCCTCCAAGGGGTGGATTAAAGAACTTCCTCTGGCCGCCTTCTGCTGTGCAATCTGCAGCTTATTAATTGTGTGTGCGAATGTGCGCGTGTGAGTGTGAGAGAGAGAGAGAGATGGAGGGAAGGGCTGCTTATTTAAAGTTCATCTTAATACAATCAATAATGAGACTCATATTGTTTTGAATTGTGAAAGAGAAATCTTGCCCAGGATGGTATGCCCTAACTCTGATTCTGTTCATTTTAGGATTTTCATTGGAGGTCAGACAGAGAAAGCCCTTCCCTGAGATATTTGAATTCTTCCAGTTTCTTGTCCGTTGCATGTTTGAAAGTTCATCAAAGCAGCCATGACTTTACTGGAAATTCATGGGCTCACTAAGACGTTTCCCAGACATTTTACAAGAGGGGTGGCAGAGAATATTCCAGAAATGTTTGAAGCAACAGACTTGAACATTTGTGTTCTCACACACAGCCCCTCTCGAAAAATTCAGGACATTTCCAGACTTCAGTGAGATTATTTGTCAGTCAAAAACCTCTCAGTCCGCTCAGTCCAGAAGCTTCGCATATCTGACTCTTAAACCAAGAAAAGGTTTTCACACCTTGAGATCCTGTTGGAAAGAAAAGTCTCAATACAAGATTAAATGTTTTGGTGGAATTTTTCTGTGTGTTTTGAGGCAGTGGTCCAGCTAGGTTTTTATCACACCGTTGGGATTCACGCTGAGAGCAACACGCAGAGCTTCATCAGAATGTGTGGCGGTGTTGGCTTATTCGTGAAGAGGTTGGTTAAACCCCCTCTCGACTGCAGCTAAAACGTCCACACTCACTTTCTCTTTGTTAGGTTTTCTGTCCCCCTCTTTCTCTCCCTCTCTGCCTCCAGTTCAATGCACTAAGTTCATTTATACTTTATTTATTCAGTTAGTCCGACTGTTTTCAGACAGAAAATAGTTATTGACTTGACAAAGATGCACAGTAGGAATAATGTTTCATGTGCTGACAGAAAGACATAGATAATATAATAATGCACAAAGCAATTAGAAACCTTGAGAGACATCTTAGCTGTAAACCTGCTGAGAGACACAAAGAAAACTTTCATTTTGTGCAGTAATAGACACACTCTTAAAGCATTTCTGTGAGATTCTTTTTTAAAAAGCGAGTCGAGAGAGCGTCTTTGGCGTCCTGATACATTCTCTGGCAGCCAAGCCGGAGGTCATAAGGCTAATTGGCTCACAGCTCCAAACAAACCAGCAGATTTCCCAATTTGGACACAAATCTACTTTTTTGGACAGTTAACTTTATAATTAATGACAAACACCCCAGACATTCAGGTGTTTCAGGGTTTTTTTCCCAGATATGGATTTGAAAAATATTATTTGCACACAGTATTCCAACCAGTGCAGTGGTGCATTTATGTCTGCAGTACACGTGCTTTTAAAATAAGACATTTATTAATACCAGTGAATGAAGAATTCCTCTACTCCCACCAGATGAGTTGCATTGATGTCAAGTCTATCCCCTACTGTGTCCCCTTACACAGCTTAATAAACCATACCAATGTTTTTGCAGTTTTCACACACGTTCACACATACGGTCAATTTAGAGTCTTCAATTAACTTAGCCCCAATCTGTGTCTTTGTACAGTGGGAGAAGGTATAAAGAAAAAGTACCCAGAGAAATTACATGCAGACACAGAGAGAACATGCAAAGTCATTGTCCTGTGAGGGGCCCATTTTTGACTATTAACATACTTCCAACACTGAAATCTCTTATTGAGTAAAGGATCCAGGTTGTTTCTTGTGGCACTTTAAATTGTGATCAAGCATTGAGTTTCCTTAAACCACTCTGAGGTGTATCTACAACCTGGTCCAAGTCCATCTGTGCTAAATTGAATTTATCAGACCTTTCTTTTTAGAAAGGCACAAATCTGTGTATAGGGTCTCACAATTCAAACTGCATGTCAGAAAAGAAAACTCTCCATCGAGTCCAAGAAACTTTCTTCAGACCTCAATGTTGAAGTTGTGGTGAGGCATTGATCAGAGCCATGATATAAAAAGCTTTGAGTGTTCCCAAGAGCACAGTGGCCTTTATATTTGTGAAATGGAAGAAGTTTGGAAGCAACAGGACTCATTCTAGAGTCAGGCTTACAGCCAAACTGAATAACCGAGAACCTGTTAGAAGGACGACCATCTGGAAATCCAAGCAGTCTGTCTGGCGAACATCAGAGTCTGCTCATCACCTGGTTTATATCACCCTACTCTGCAGGATAGAGGTGGCAGCATCGTGCTTCTCTGTGGCACAGACAAGGGGAAGATGTCCAAATTTATGGAAGTATGAATGCACTCAGAGATCTTTAAAGAAACTCTCCCACAGAGTTGACCTGTGACTGGAGTGATGGCTCACGATTTTCAACACAACAATAACACAAAGCATACGGCCAAGACAATGCCGGATTGGCTTCTGGACAAATCTCTGACTGTTCTTGAGAGGTCAAGAGAGCTCAAGACTTAAACCTCATAACCTAACTGTGAAGAGTCCTGGCATGGCAGCTCAGGCACTCACTATTCAATCTAACAGAGCTTGAGAGGATTTGACAGGAACAATGGGATAAACTGTACAAATCCAGGTGTGCAAAGCTTCTTGAGACTTAACCAAGACGAATCTGAGCTGTAACTGCTGTGAAAGAGTCTTCTACAAAGTAATGAATCAAATTTCGGAAAGAAAGTTATTCTTTTATTAACCTAAAAACATGTATGTGGAGTAAAAGCAAAAATGGCAACATAAGTGTACAAAAGTGCAGGAGCCTAAATTCTTTATGGAACCTTGTGCACTTGTGATTTTTCGGGCAAAGAACATGTGATGTTCATGAGAAGGTGACCTGTCTGCAAAGCTTTCAGGAGATTTAAAACATGGTAGGCAAGCGTCATCTATTGATGCACTCTATTGGGTTCAGGGTTAAAATTTATTTTTTTTAAAAACCACAAAACTAATTTTCAACAAACTCGGTGAAAGGACATAGCCTATTAGATTTCAGTGCAGATATGAATTAAGGGGACATTATTTCAGTTGTTTCCTCTTGTTTGTTATAGGTTTTTTCTATATGTTAAAGGTCTGAAAGGATCAAAGAATGCAGTCCAAGCAAAGGACAGAGGCTAAATAGAGGAGCTGCAACAATCAAGAACAATATGAAGAAAGTGATGTAAATGTTAACATGTAAACCTTTAAAGTAAGAACCCAAATTAAAATGTTGAACCTGAATATGAGAGAGATTATCTGGCTACTTCAAATTTTTTAAATTTCTATGAACTAGACATTCATGAAGTGTTTGGCCTTGGTGGAGGTATGAGCTATGTTTAGTTGTACTAGTTAATTAAAAGGGGGGACAACATTTAACAAGGTTGCTGTAACAAATACTGAATAAATGCTTGACTGATTGATAAACTCAGGTTACAGTATATTTCACTTAATTTATCATCTCTCTCTCTCTCTGCAGATGTGATCCACACTGTGGGGCCGATTGCTCAAGGAGGAGTTGGAGAGGAGGAGAGGAAAGCTCTGAGGTCATGCTACAAGAAGAGCCTGGAAACAGCCACTGAAAATGGTGCACGTTCTGTGGTAAGAAAGGCAGGATGAGATGAAGGGATGACAGGGTGACAATGAGTGAGAGCAGAAACCTGAGAGATTACTTTAAAAAGAGAAGGACGGACACTGGTGAAGACAGGGGACAAGGACAGTGTGACAAGATCCTACAGTTTTAACAGAAATCTGAGAGCTGAGAAGGAAGAGTCAAGATTTTTCTAACTACACACAAACTGTGTTAACTCGTCTGAAGTTTTATGAAACGCATCACGCAGGAGGTTTCACAACAGAGTGTTAAAGTCAAAGACAAACACTATAGCAACGCGAAAATAACTTCAGGGGTGTGGAATAAGAAAGGACTAATACAGTATGTGGGAAGAGAGAGAATGAATAATTCAATGTTCTCACATCAACAGCAGAATTCAAAGCAAAATTTAATGTTTACTAATTGCAAACAATTAGTATTTTTGCAACAAGTTAACGTAAAGTTCTTGTACATTCCTAATTTTTG